TTTTAAAAAAATTCACTCTAGATCCTTTTGTAGTTCATAGGCGTGATGATTGGGTGTTTACGCCCTTGTGTGACATATGCTTCCCTTAAACTGTGTTGTGACCTCGCACATTACCCATCTGACGTGAAAAAAAAAATTAGCAGCAGCTCTTTCTGCCCATGGGTCCTGTCCCAGTGCTTTAATAAACCACCATTTTGCACGTGCACGCGCGCACACACACACACACACACACACACACACTGTATTAATTTTATTTGGACCATACCAAATGTTTATATTAACCTACAGAGAACTGACATCCTTATCATGACGTCAATAATAACATTTACCTTTATATCAAAATATAGGAGTAGATGCTTCTCCATTGGTTCATGCTTTCCTTTATGTCTCTGTAATATTTTTAAAATATTTAAGATTTATTTATTTATTTATTTATTTATTTGAGAGAGAGAAATCACAAGTAGGCAGAGAGGCAGGCAGAAAGAGAAGGGGAAGCAGGCTCCCTGCTGAGCAGAGAGCCCGATGCGGGGCTCAATCCCAGGACCCTGAGATCATGACCTGAGCGGAAGGCAGAGGCTTAACCCACTGGCCCACCCAGGTGCCCCAAATATCTTTATTTTTAAGTAATCTCTATACCCAGTGTGGGCCCTGAACCCACAACCCCAAGATCGAGTCCCACGTTCCACTGACTAAGCCAGCCAGGTGCCCCATGACTGTAATATTTTAAGGTTTTTTTTTTTTTTTGGTTCCTCTTTGTAAATGGGCTCTTTTCCATTCTTTCCTATATATATATTTATTATGTAATATAGATTTAATATATAAACATAAGAATAATATAAATGTATAAAGTAACATAAGTTATGTAATAGAAAATTTGTAAACTAAACTCCAGACTTTATTCAGATTTGACTAGTTTCCCCACTCATGTCCTCATTCTGTTTCCAGATCCCACATTCCATGTGGTTATCATGTCTCCTCGGGCTCCTCTAATCTGTGACAGTTTCTCAGACTTTGTTTTTCATGACCTTGACAATTTTAAGGAGTACTGGCGGGTGTGTTGTAGACTATCCCTCAATTTTGGTCTGTTTTTCTCGTGGTTAGACAGGGTTGTGGGTTTTTAGGAAGAAGACCAGAGAGTGGCCCTTCTTTGTTACATCCAATCAGGGGCCCACAGCATCGGCCTCTCACTGTCACCTTAGCCTGGATCACTTGGCCAAGGTCGTGTTCCCAGCTTTCTCCACCGTGGAGTTCCTCTCTTCCCCTTTCCCTTAGTCTGTTCTTCAGAAGCAAGTCACTAAGTGCAGCCTACACTCAGGAAAGATTGTGGGGGAAGGGAGTAGCTACATAATGATTTGAAATTCTTCTGTTGGTAAGAACTGCTTTCTTCTCCCGTATTTATTTATTAATTCAGTCATATATATCAGTCTGGACTCATGGATATTTATTTTCCCATTTGGATTTAATCCAAAAGTATATTATTTTATTGCATAAATTGTTCCAGTTTGGCCATTGGGAGCCCTTTTGGGTAGACTCTGTGTCCCTTTGATATTACCCGTCCTTTCGTTATTTTGCGGCTTCCTTGCTTTCTGGCATTTCAAGATGTCCCAGGCTCATCTTGTATCTGTCCTGCCCTGACCCTAGCATCAGCCATTTCTCCAAGGAGCTGGTTACTTTCACTGGCGAGCAGCCTTAGAAACGAAGATGTAAGTGCTGGGTGCCTTTGTTGTTCCTAGGGTAGCACTTCTAGGCCACCTCAGCAGATGGAGCTAGGAAATATCTCTGTGCATACTTACCCGTGTAGATACACATGGCCCTCCGTTGTTTTGTAACCAGTAGCTATTTGCATATAAAAAATGAAATTGTTTTATATGTATAAATCTTGTCCCCTCCCACTTGCTAAACTGTCTTGTTTTTCTCTCCATTTTATCTCATCTCCCACAACTGTGTGAAGTCAAGACCACTGTAATCCCATCACAAAGAGGGAAACAGGCTTAGAGAGTTCAAGTAACTTGCACAGACGGCACACCCCCTGGGGAGGAGACCTCAAACAGCCCCACTCTATTCTGTGCGGCCTCCTTGCATCCTGAGGGCTGCGAGAGGTTGACCACCACACTCAGTGGGCAGCATTGTAAGGATGACCGAGGACCCACTATATGCCAAGCATCTGAGAGAGGGGGCCAGCACCAGGTCCTACGGGCCACAGGAACAGATGTGTGGATGCTTGATGAGCGCTCTCTGTGGAGCCTAGGGCCTGCGGAGCTGCAGACAGCACCCTGCCTCTCTTTGGGCAGGAAGTGAGGGGACCGCTGAGGGAAACTCTGAAATTCACATCCCAGCCCAAGTTTTCTGGCTTGCTAGTCTTTGGGAAGCTTGGCACCGGGGTGGCCCACTCAGGTCCTAGCTCCGCTCAGTCCCCACAGATAAAGGGGGCTTCCTTAAAGTCCTTTCCCGCAGGGCCACACACCCCGGCTGATCTCCTCCTGAAAGCCCTCTGGTCCCTGGGCTTCTCAGAAAGTCAGACCTGACGGTTGCAGTGCCTGTGCCATCACTTTCCTGCTGGGCAATCTCAGGCAAACCTTTGCCTCTCCCCAGGCCTCCCTAAGCATGCGGCTATGGGGCAGGGCGTGTCCGTCCTAAACGGGGACTGCTGCTAGGGGTGCTGGTGCTCAAGTTTCCTAGGGAATGGGTCATCCCTGTGCGGTCTGCTGGACCTTGTAGGAGCTTTAGGACAGAGGAGAGTCCTCTGTCATTCCCAAACCAGGCACCAAGAAAGCACAACGGGACCCAGAGATGGCCCCTGTCCACATACACACAGTCCTGTTTGCTAGTTCTGAAGAAGCCTTGCCCGCGAAGGCACTCTGTCTGAAAGTGAGGCAAGGAAGGTTTTCCAGAGGAAGGACATGCAGAACTAGCTCCCAAGGGTGGTCTTGCTCCCAAGGAGCAAGAAGAGAGGGTGCTCCAGTCAGAGATGTGGGCCCTACCCAGGGCCTGAAGGAAGACTGTCCTGATGTCAGCCCCGAACCCTCCTGAATGCCAAAAGGGAACAGGAGCTTAGTTTATTTATTTTCAGCCTTGTTCCCCAAAGGAACTGAGGCAGCTCACAAAACCCAGAAGTCTGAAATGTTACAAAGTGACAGGGGAAGTTGGGTGAAGGGTAAGGATCATGGCAGGAAAGGAAGATGAAGCCAGGAGTCCCCACTTACTGGGCTTGAAGACCCAGAACACCTTCCAGAGGTTAGCCACAAGTCTGGCTCTGAGCTCCCTAATGGCTGAGGAGAAAAGTGAAAGAAGACCCAATTCCCTGACCTAATGTGGGAAGATGAGAACACAACCAGTGCTCTGGAGAAGCACCTTCTGTTGCCATCACCTGCTTCTCTGCCTCTCCTCACTTCAGGGCTAAGCTCCCCTCTCTCCTCCACTTCCCACACTATGCTCCTACAATTCCTGGATCCCATGTGTTCTAGAACCTACTCTCCTAAGGTAAGATTTTTCCCTCTCCCCACCTCTCCAGTCCTGGTGAGCAGTAATATTAGGAATGCTTGTTGAGGAGACGCACAAGTGTGAAAAGCCTGGTCAGTGCAGAAACGTACAGGCGTCCATACACTTCACCCAGTACCGGCGCATCTGGTCAGAGAAATGGGAGAGCCCCGCTCTGCAGGGAGGAGGTGAGCAGAAGCAGAGGATGGGGAGCAGACTCTCCCAGCTGTAATGGAGAAGGAGCTTCTCACCAGTACCACAGAGGGGGGAATTTGAGCTTCTATGGAAGCTACAGGCTACAGGTGGAGAAAACACGGCCTTAGCAGTGACAGAGGTGGTGCTTATCAGTTTCTGGATCTTTCAGCCTTGTTGGGACGGGGATTTGGGGCTGAGCTACTGTGACCTGGTGTGTAGCGGGCTCAGCACACTCTGTCCAGCCCCACCTGGATGTGGGCCATCTGATATATTGTTTCATGCTGGACATTTACTTCTGTGTGCAGGACAAAAGTGGGAGAGCTCCTCAGAGGAGACCACAGGCTGTGCGACCGTCAGGGGCCACCCACTGGCACCCCCCACCCTGGAGGGTCGCCTCCCGGGCCTGTTTTTCTCTCTCAAAGGGAGATAACCAGGATAAGGCTGTAGATTCAGTAATCACTAAGCAACAGCTTAGTGAAGGGCCCAGCACGTAGTAGGGTCTCAAGCAAGGTGTCTGCGTTTGATGGATGCGGAGCCCAGAGGCCCCACAGTGCGGATACTCGCCCAAGGTCACACAGCTGGGGCTGTAGATCCGACCCGGGAGGCCCGACTCCCGCCGGCTGGGTTTGTCTGGAGCCAGCTTGCGGGAGCGGTGTTTGGAAGAGCGGACGCGGGCGTGGGCGGGAAGGGACTTCTATTTTGGAGCGGGTGAGAGGAGCGCGGGACACCGAGGGGGCTGGATCCCTCCCTCCGGCTTCCTGCGCCCCAGTCACCTTCCTGCGACCCTTCCCGGGAGGAGCATCCCGGGCGGGTAGTGGGGAGCTGGGGAGGGGCGGGCCGGCGGTTACCTCATCGCCGCCTCCGGGAAGCTCCGCTCGCCCGCTCGCTCCTCGCTCGCTCGCGCCCCTGGCTGGGGCGGCGACTCAGGGCGCCGGAGCGACCGAAGGACAACGGGACTGAGGCACCGAGAGGCAGCGCCGTCCCCGCGCCCGGACCCGCTGCGGGACGCGCTGCGGAACCCGCGCGGCCAGGAGGTGCGACCCCGGTGCTCGCGCTGCCGGCGGCGCCTCCAGCTCGCGCTGCGGGGCGGAGGCGGTGTCTGCACCGCGCGCGGGGTCTGTTCTCTCCCGAGCTTCGGCACCTGCGGGAGCTGCTCGTTCGTCCTCCGTCGGCCTGCTCGGCTGTCTGCCCTCCGGCCACCCGCTCCGTCCTCTGGCCCGGCCTCTCCTGGCCCAGGGTGCTCCGGGGGCGGAGGGGTGGGGGGCGATGAGAAGCGCGGGGCCAGGGCGCACCGGGCAGGGCACGCGGGGCGCACGGCGCAGCGCTGGCCCATGAGGGTTTACAGCGCTGGGCGCGGCTGGGCGCGCGGGCCATGGGGGGCAGCCTGCGGGTGGCTGTGCTGGGTGCCCCGGGCGTGGGCAAGACGGCCATCATCCGCCAGTTCCTGTTCGGTGATTACCCGGAACGCCACCGGCCCACGGACGGGCCACGTCTCTACCGGCCCGCGGTGCTGCTCGACGGCGCGGTCTACGACCTGAGCATCCGCGACGGCGACGGCGCTCCTCCGGGTCAGAACCCCGGGGGTCCAGAGGTAGCGACTGGGGGACGGGCGGCGCGGGCGGGGGCGTGTGACAGCGTGTATGTGTGGCGGGTGCTTGGTGCACACGTGCGTGTCTGCCTGGACAGCCCTGGGGTGCACAACTGTGTTCATGGATTAAAGGATGAACGTGTCCTGGGAGGTTTGTGTGTGTGTCTCTCCCTGACGGCCTGCTGCTGTCCAAGATCAGGCCCCAGGCCCGGCGATTTTGAAAATAGGGTTTTTCTCATTCGCCTAAAGTGCCTGTATTATTTGCCTGCCTCCGAGGGTGGTTCTGGATCAGTGCATGGCAGACTATGGTCGTGCCTCCCTGCGGGTGAGCATTTTATGCTTGGGGAATTAAGCAGACTCTCAGTGGGGGGAGGATGGGGCCAGACACAGGTGTACTTTCTAGGGTGGTTATTCTCTGCTCCCTTATTCCTGTGACTTGGAGCAAAGAGTTTAGCAATTTGTGCGAAGCCCAGGGCAGATTTTGAATTCTTGGAGCTGGATGCCTCCGAGGGATAAAGAGGAAGGAGCACACAGAATTAAGCAGGGCTTCCTGGAGGGGTTTACGTTTGGGCTGACCCTGGAAGAATGAATGAAGTTTTGGTTAAAAGAAGTGTCAGAAGCCTGCCAGGTGGAAAGGACAGCATGTGCTTAGCCCCCCCAGGCCTGAATGTGTACAGCTGTCCATCATCAATAGTGTCCGAGGGCCTGGGGAACACGGAGCCTGGGGCTTAGAGGCAGCTGTGGTAAACAGGGAGGGAGGGCCTAAGAGGCCAGCTCCGAGATGAGCTTTGAAAAGCTGGAAGGAGGAAGCTAGGGGGTGGGCAGAGAGGAGGCCGAGAGTGAAGGAGGGCTGCTAAGCAGCTGACTGGCTTCAGGCACGGGTTAGAAATTTTTATCCTGGCAACCGTGAGGACAGTAGGGCCTAGGGAGCTTGGAGAGAGATGGTGGGGACGGCCGAGGCCTGAGGATGAACTGTGGGTTTAGCATCAAGACCCTTCAGAAGGTCTGGCTGTTGGAGAGTGAGAAGGGGTCTCTGGCAAACTCCGGCCTCCCGCCCCAGGAGTGGCCAGACTCCAAGGACTGGAGCTTGCAGGACACGGACGCCTTTGTGCTCGTCTATGATATCTGCAGCCCAGACAGTTTCGATTACGTGAAGGCGCTACGGCAACGCATCTCGGAGACCAGGTGGGGATGCCGCCACAGGTGTGTATGGGTGGAGGAGGGGTGCTTTTGCCAGACCGCCTGGGCCTTTGCCCAAGGGGAATGGGTGGGTTCTTCCCCGGTCCTGGCTGGGTCTCGGGTCTGCCAGCCATGCGGTCTTTGGGCCACTCGGGTTTGGTATTTCCTTGGGGGGGGGGGGCTGTCTCTGGCCACAGGAATATATATACCCACTGCGGAGGGAGGGGTCTCTGGCGTGGGGCATCCGGCACAGCAGCTCCCGTCCCCATCTGGCCCACAGGCCGGCGGGCGCACCCGAGGCTCCCATCCTCGTGGTAGGCAACAAGCGGGACCGGCAGCGGCTGCGCTTCGGGCCTCGGCGCGCGCTGGCCGCCCTGGTGCGCAGGGGCTGGCGCTGCGGCTACCTCGAGTGCTCCGCCAAGTACAATTGGCACGTGCTGCGTCTTTTCCGCGAGCTGCTGCGTTGCGCTTTGGTGCGTGCACGCCCTGCGCACCCGGCCCTGCGCCTGCAGGGGGCGCTGCATCCAGCGCGTTGCAGCCTCATGTGATTGAACTGGACGTCGACGCCGAAGGTGGGGGGGTGAGGGTGGTTTGATCGGAACAACCGGGTACCCGGATTGGACGAAATTGCCCAACTTCTCTCGGATTGGACAGGACAAAGTCTCCTCCCTGATTGGATGAGGAGACCTCCCACTCAGTCTCGGGGCGACAGGACTTTCTTTGAGCTGCATTGGACCCTGCCAGGCACCCAAGCCACACTGGGTTCCAGCAGTCTTTTCTGGGACCTCATTGGGTTACAGTCCCATTGGGTAGAAGGGACTTGGCTGTGGATCCGATTGGAAGCGCTCAGGTTGCTCCTGCGGCTCCACTGGACAGACTCTAAAATCACACCTCTCAGGAGGTAATAAAGGGTAAAACGATGGAAGCGCAGCTTGCATTTCTTGGGTGGGTTGCATGGTCTTAAGCTTAGAGGTCATTGCTCCCTGGCACCTAATACCAGAACCCCAACATGTAAGAAGGGTACCCAAAAGGTGTGATGGCCCCAAGGCCGACCCCAAGAAGCAGACACAAGTGGCTGGAACAATACTTTACTGTCAGGCTCTGCAGGGCCATAGGACCGCAGGACGGGTCCTCACTGACCTCCTCTAAGGCAATCAATAATATTAGTAATTAAATAGCAACGCTCATCCCCCAACCGGAATGTACAACAGAGGTCCCATTGTGCCATGTGGTCCCAAGGGGTCTGGTCCCATGAGGTCTGGTACCCGAGAGGCAGGGGTGGAGGGGGGGCTCCCTGATGCAGAGGGGTTAAGGCCACGAAGGAATAGGATGAGAAGGAGTGGGGGCCTGGGGGGCAGCTAGGCTGGTTCATCACATCCAGGAATCCGGCTCTGCCCTTGGGCTCACAGAGTGCAGGGCGTGCCAGGCCCCAGGCTCTGTAGATCCAGACAGGCGGCGAGGGCCCCGAGGCGTGGGGATGCGTGAAGGTTTTCGGTCTGGCTGTGTGTCCATCCGGCCCCGTGCCCAGGTCCTCGGGAGCTCCAGGCCAGCCAAGGGGCTCCCAGGTGCATCTGGTGGGCCCCCCACACCGGGGCAGGGGCTGCCTTCATCGGAAGAGCTGGACAGGACTGGGCCTCGGGGCCCGGGCAGCCCATTGGCCATCCGGCCAGAGTCCCCGGGTTGGCCACACTTGCCACCCAGGACACTGAGGGATGAAGAGGAGGAGCTGGAGGAACAGTAGGCCGAGTCAGGAGCTGGAGGGTCTGGGGCCCGAGCTGGGTCAGAGGCTGGTCCAGCGGGGGTCCCACCAGCAGCGGCCTCAAGGGCTCGCGCATTGGCCAGGAACTCCTCTTCCAAGCGCCGGAACAGTTGCTGCTCTTGCTTCGGGTCCAGCTGTAGGGGGGTGCGGAAGACACTGGCCGGTGTGGCGCCCAACTCTGGACTGGGGCTGGAGACCCGGAGAGGCCGGGACGCTGCAGGGCTGCGAGCCCGGGGAGTCTGGGGGCTGCTCCTGCCTGAGCCCCCACTGACCCTGCCCCGGGGCACCCACGAGTGCTGCCCATCTCGGTCCCTGCGCACCAGCAGCATGGTCTGCTCCTCCCGGCTCTGGCTCCGGGCCCGCCGGGCAGGGCTGGCGGCTGACAGCGGGGCTCCCCGGCCTCCTGGGGCCCCACGGGGCCGCCCCCGATCCAGTCGGTCTCTGGACTGGCTGCGCGGGGCAGGAGGCCGTCTCGGGGAGGCTGGGGTGCCCATGGTCAGCCGCCGGCTGGGTCGCTCCTTCCGGGAGCCAGTGCCTGAGTCTTCACTGCGGACACCAAGGGGGCCACTCTGGGCTGAGGACGCTGAGGAGTCACTGTCCCCGGAGTAGCGGCGGGAGCGGGGATGGGGGGGCAGCTGGTCCCGGGCCCTGGGGGCAGCGGAACAAGAGATAGCGAGAGATGGGGCATACAGAGACAGGACTGGCATGCAGAAACGGCCCAGAGAGGAAAGGACAAGCAGCCAAGTGGTTGGGGGTGGGGAAGACACCTGTGGTGGTGGTGGTGGGTGGGGGTGGGGCTGTCAAGGGCTTCGGTCCTCTTGGGGACTTCCAGAGAGAAGTGAGGGACTCCAAGCAGCTTCCGGCAGCCGGGGCCACCCCCCACCCCAAGGCAGCGGAAGAAGCCAGGTTCCGAGTTCCCCCTCCCCAGGCCTCCGGCTTCCTGGGCAGGCCAGAGGGAAGCGGGTAGGACTGGCCGCCGCCCAGCCTCCAGGGCCTGCCCCAGCTGTGTTGTTCAGTTGCTTGGGTTGCCATGGAGATAGGAAGCCAGGCCTGCCCCCACCCACGGGAACTTTTCCCAGGGTGTGAGTCACCCTGGAGCACAGGCTCGTTTGTCATCCAGGCCAGGGAGTACACCCCCAACCCCCGGACCCCTCACCCTCAGGTCCTCCTGCCTCTCACCTGAGGGTGGTCTCCGTTTCCTCCTTTGAGGCCCGTAGGCTAATGGGCGTCACTTCTGGCCGGGAGCTCCGGCGCTCACCCCCAGGCGCTGGGCTGCCAGCCCGTGGGCTGGGGGTGGGCGACACCCTCTGTGGGGAGAAGGTGCGAGCCCTGGGCTGGGGCGGGCGGTGGGCTGCGGGGGTGAGACAACAGGTGGCCTGTGAAGGGCAGTGCCACAGACAGAGCCCGGCCTGCCCATCCCCCTATGGCCCCGCCACAGGCACTGACCCGAGGACGAGCAGCGGCAAGGGTCATGCTTGTCCAGATAGTGCTCCAGAGTGTCCCAGCCGCCACCCACGCGCACCATCACGTGGCTCCTCAGCACCTGTGGGAGCCCAGCGTGGGCAGGTCATGGCCTGTCAGTGGGGGTGGGGGGCATGACAGCCCACCTTAGGCTGCTGCCTGCAGGGCAGCCCTGGGCTCTTACCCGCACGAAGATGAGGAGACTGGAGTCTCCCACGCGGTACTTGCCCTCCGAGACTTTGATCATGGGAAACTGGTCTGGACAGGTGCAGTAGCCCAAGATCTCCCTCACCTGAGGCCAGAGAGGAGAAGCGGGAGGTCAGGGATTCAGTCCCTCCTCCTGGGGCCTGATGCCAGCAGCCCCAGGGTCAGGAGGAAGCAGGTCCTTCCGGAGAAAGGGGGCACGGATGGTGTGGCTCCAGACTTGGGTGCAGGCTCTACACTTGACCTTTCACCAGCTGCCCTTCCCCTTTGGCTGTTGGAGGTCAGGGAGCTGACCAGGAAAGGATGGTGGCCCTGTGATCAGGCCAGGGCTTGGGACTCCAGTGAGGTGCCTCCCTCCAGCCCCTGAGCCTGGGGCTGTCCTGGGAGCCGTCCTCACTCCCCCTCCACCTACTTCACAGAGAGAGGCTGAGGCCCCACAGGAAGACTGGGTCCATTGGAGGAGGAGGACTATGGGACATGAGTGCAGGGAACCCACGCCACATCAGTGCCACAGACATGTAAGACACAGACACACACCCCAACATGCACACCTAGGCCACATGCCCAGCAAGCACACATTTGCATGCCCCCCCCCCCCCCCGCCCCAGCCCAGGTCAGGAGCTGCCAGGCTGGCTATCTGGACGGCCCACCTCCCAGCCGACAATGGGGCCAGAGGAAATGAGCAGGTGGAGCCTCTGGTGACCCTGGCCCAAGATAGGATTGGGGTTGGCAGCCTCTGCCCAAGGCCATCAGGCTAACTCCCTCAGGGGTAAGGCACAGCATAGTCCTAACCTTCTGATAAGAAGGACACTCACTCTTGGCCAGGCTGCGGGGGCGTTAGGGATACCTACGTCTTAAGACGAGCAGGAGGGAGCTGGGGGTACAGTCTGGCAGCTCCCATGTTCCTAACAGCAGCTCTGGGCCTGGCTTCCCCACCAGTGATGTGCGCTGGGCCATGGGGGGTTGGCAGGGGGGCTGTAGAGCCCTGGGAAGCTTCCCTAGGCCCTCAGTGAGCCTATTGTGTGCTGGGCACCTCGCTCAGAGCCAAGCATCACAGGCACCCACTCAACCTCGAGCTCTGTGATGTGGTTCCAAGTGTCTAGTCCTGAAGTACATACAGAAGGGGTCAAATCACACAGTGCCCAGATGAGGGGTATACGGCCCTTCTCTGGTGGATGGGGAGCCCTTGAAGTGGGGAGATCACACAGTGCAGCTCAGATTTCATCCACCGCCCAGCAGGGCCATGCGACCTCACCAAACACTTCTCCCTCCCAGCGGCTGTGCCCGCTCCTTGGGGCCAGGTATCTAGTTGATGCTCAACCTGTGCACTACCCCATGGGGCAGGCTGTCCCATCCTGGGCACGCGGTGGGGATGTGCGCCCTCATGGGCAGACTCACCAGCTCGTCGAGGTTGCGCAGGTCGCTGGGTGTCATGCGGGGCCCGCGGGTGGGAGCCCCTGCTGTGGTGGCCATTTCGGGGGCGTCCTCCTCGGCTGTGCGGGCGTGGGGGGCCGGGGGGGGCAGCACGGAGCTCCTGCTCAATCTCCTGTTCAAATTGCACAAGGCGAGGGGCGAGCAGGCCAAGGCGTGCCCCACGCCGTGCCACCTCCAGCAGGCACAGCACCACGCTCTTCTCATTCTTTCGAAGCACCAGGTCCTCCGTCTCAAACATGAGCACTTCGGGCACACCCAGCTCTGTTCGGCACCAGCCGATGAACGTGGCCACATTGTCGCGGGCCATGAAAGAGCCGGGCACCACACTGTGTGCCTGGAAGGCCACCCCGCGGGCTGGGCGGGCAACAGCCAAAGCGCGGGCAGCATCGGTGACAGCATTGGCATGTTGGCACAGGGTGGTGCCCGTGGCCAGCCCCGTCAGGAAGCCATCGCCACCACTGGGCAGACCCAGGCCATACAAGGCGTTGAGCCACTCGGCCAGGTCCTCCTTCATGGCCTCCACGTAGGCCTCACTCGAGCGGAATGGCCGCACGCTCTTGGCTGCTGAGCCCGCGATGCCCGCCACCGGGTCCGCCATGCCCGGGGCCAGCCGAGTCACGGTGGGTGGGCAGGGACACAGGGCTGCTGTGAGGACCCAGGAAGCCCTCAGTACAGACTAAGCCGCTGACCACCTGTAACTTGCCTGTCATCTCAGGCCAGACGCTTGGTTTTGTGAGCTGGCTGTGAGAAACTTCACTGTACCTCGGTTTCCTTGTCTGTGAAATGGGTACAGTAATAGCACCCTCCTTGCAGG